TCCGGGATGTTGGTTGTTGTTTATTATTTGTTTGCATCTCTTTACTTCATATTTGAGTTATAGGATGTGTTGGGCAGTTTGTTCAGGTTGGTTGTGTTTGGAGTCCTAGTGTTGTGCCCAGATTTTTGGGCATATCGCTCGACGAGGAGTTTGTCGCTCGTCGGCGAGGTTGAGTTGTGTCTGGTGGGTCGAGCCAGAGAGCTTCGCTCGGAGCGAGCGATGGCGTCTGGTTCTGGACCTGAGAGTTCGTTCTTGGCTCGAGCGAGCTTTTCGTGGCTCGAGCGGTCTGGTTTTTCTTCGCTCGAGCGAGAGGTCTGTCGCTCGAGCGTGCTTCTGGTTACAGACCTGAGGGTTTGAGTTGTTGGCTCGATGCGAGCATTCTTTTCGTCGAGCGCACTTTTTGAGTTTTGGCTCGAGCAAGGACTTCGTCTCGAGCGAGAGTTTTCTGTGTCTGGTCGCTCGAGCGACGAAGGCTTCGCTCGAGCGAGCGTGTTTTATATCAACGGACAGTAGCGTTTTGAACATCACTTTTCATCTTCTTTTTTTGATCAAGCCCTAGATCCGAGACCTCTCTCTCTCTACACTTATATTCTCTCTAAGAATTGATCTCCCTAGAGTGTGAATCTAGCCTAGGGCCTTTGTTAAAAAAGATAGAGGGCGTTGAGAGCTTTTGTTTAATCTGAAAAGTTGGGATTTGGAACACGTTGATCTTCGAGTCTTCATCTCCTTTGTGGCTCAAACTTCGAGGTAGGGATATCCTACTCCTCTCTATGGATTTTGTCTTAAATTTAGGATTTGAGATGTTGGGGTTGTTGGTAATTTTGTGAAAGTTTGGACTTTGTACAATTTTACAAAGTTGGGGTTTTACTCATAATAAAGCCTAGATGCAAGTTTGCATAGAGAAATGGAATGAATGTTGAATTATTGATGAAATGGGAATAAGGGTTTAAATGTTAATTATGGGAATTGACCTAATTACATGTGTTAATTAATTGGATAATTAATTGAGAGAATGAGGAAATGAAATGTTGATTGAATATCCATTGTGCATTTATTTTCTATTTAGAAATAACGCTTTGGCTATCGGTGGAGGATAGTCGTGATTGTTGTAGAACAATACATGATGATTAGGCAAACTGAAACTAATCAATGAAGTGTGTCATGGACTTGACGTTGATAAAATACATTAACTATATGTATTGAGTGATTGTATATAGAACCAATGTGTTGTATACGTTATGTGTAGAGAGGAGATGGGGATGTTACTGGTTTAGGAAGATAGGGGATGTACCTCTAAACCGGATAGTTGGGAGAAGATAGGGATGAACTCCGTAGATACAAGCTCATATGCTTGTCTAGAGAAGTGAAGATAGAGCTGTATGCTTATCTTTGTGAAGTGTGGATATGCTTATATGCTTATCTGTGATATTTGTGTGTATACATATCTGTTATAGAATTGTGGATATAGCTTATATGTTATCTGTAGATATTGTTGTATACATATCTGTTGAAAATGTGGGGTATGTTATATGTCATCTGTTGAGAAAGGAAAAATGAAAGGAAACTTGGACTCATAAGTCGTATGACATAAATTTGTGATTTATGTGATTGTATCAGTGTTGGCCATCTATCAATTGCTAATATTTTAGTCATTGTTCATTGTTGTTTAGTATATTTCTACTGGGCTGTGGCTCACCCTATTTGGGAATATCATTTTCAGGTGCAGGAAGCATGCCACCTCCAAAGGACATAGCTTGGGGCTAGAGGCGGAATTAATGTATGTCGTTTTACTTTTTGATGTATTACATGTAAATACAAGCCAAGGGCTTAATGTGTATGAGTTAGTACTCTTTTGTTGTAACCAAGTGTTAACTTGGAAAGCTGTAAGCCTGTAGGGCATTTGCTTTTGTTGTTAACATGTAATACTTTTTGTAATGAAACTCTGATAAATGAAAGAATGTGGAGCTTTGGTATATCAATGCATGTCTTATTTGTTGGGTTTAATGTTATTATTTTGAGGGCGTTACAAGGAAAACCCCGAAGAGGAGATCAACCTCTCGGCGAACCCTTCTTCTTAGCCACACCTAACCAATGATCCCTAATCATCCCAAAGGGTTAGGGGTAGTCCCAGAGGACGTCCTGCCGCCTAAGGGTCAGGGGTAGTTCAAGAGAACGCCTTGCTGCAAATATTGCTGAGTCTTAGGGACCCCCTAGATTGTGCCACCTCGACCCGAGTATAGGCCAGTTTAACCGAAGAGTGAATTTATCTTCACTCATCGTCCTCGGGATCGGGTCCTTTGTTCGAACTCCATTACGCCCATGGTTCTGGTGCGTAGATCCCGGAAAGCTTCGAGCCCGCAAGTGTTCTGGGACTCATTAACGGAGCGACTTCTAGATTGCGTCTGAATCCATTCGAAGCCAAGTGCTTCGGATCTCTAGGTTCGTGGATCCGAACCCTTTCAAGTCCGAGTGCCTCGGATCTCTAGGCTTGCCCAATACCCTTTCGTGTCCGGGCCCGGGTAAGTCTCTAAGTTCATGGATTCGAACCCTTTCGAGGCTTAGAGCGATTTAGCCCGTTTGATGGCGATAAATCCGGACCCACTAATTTTGGACTTGCGATAAATTCGGGCCCACCAACCTTGGACTATTGGGCCTAATTAATTTAATGGGCTCAAATTAGCTCCTCTTATACCTCCCTATAGTATGGTCCCTGTAGCACTTCACCCCTTATCTTTTAAAAATAGCCACAAGCCCCCCATGTGGTTGTGGATTAAATTGCAATACTAACTGTTAACTTTAGTGATAAAAAGACAATTATACCCTTGTTTCCTTCCTCTACTTCTCATTATTTGTGTAAGAATAAATGTAAAAATAAATAAATCAAACTTGCCTCAATTAAGAAACTTGATTTTTATTAAGAAACTTAATTTTTTTTAACTTCTGACTTAATTTCTAAATTTGTAACCTAATTACTAATTTAATCACATCTTAAGTTGTAATATATTCATATAAATATATATTACCATTAGCAGGCAAAACAGAGTTGTAAAAAAAAAAAAATTGAAAGTGTAAACAAAAAAAGAAACATAATAAACAAATGGCTAAACAATAGAAGAACTGTAGAAGCATGGGAGGGTTGGTGAATCTCAGACAAATGCTGAGATTTGTCATTACGATTTTAAAAAAAGGGACCGAAATCAAACTCGATATCATATTATTTCTTCATCACAGAAACAAGATTACATATTACCCAAGTCTCTATGTATATATAGTGCGTATATATATGAACTATTTAAAAAGTTAAGAATAAGTTTTGTCGTTCGGTTTGCAGGAATCGCAGATTCTGCCAATTGCATTGTAGTGACAGGGGAGTTTGTACAGTGGTTGAGAGGAGGGAGATGGTGGCTGGGCGGCAGGGAGGGTGGTGGTATCTAGAAGGTGGGGAGGAGGTGGGGAGGATGGCAAGGGAAAGTGGGAGGGAGTGGGGGTGGCTGGGAGGTGGGAGAGTAAGGAAGGGGTGGCTGGCATGGTGGAGGAGGTGATGGTAGGTTTAGATTTAGGTTTTTTTTTTTTTTGAAAAAAAATGGTGAAAGGGGCGATTTTGTCTTTTTACCTTAGAAAGTTGACTTTATTTAATTATTTTTCTTCCCAACTCTCTCAAAATGCATGTGTAGTATAATATATATTAGTTTTAGATAGAAAATGTAATGGGAGCAATTTAGTCCAAAATCACATGAGGGTTAATTGGCTATTTTCAAAAGACAGGGCTATGCTATTGGACCAAACCACTAGGAGGTAAAATGGATTTTGCCCCTTTTTTTATTTAAATATGTTGATCTCATTTTATGCTTTCTAATCACCATGCTAACTTTCAATCTATAACATTAAGAAATAGTTAAAGTCTAGAACCATAGGGTTTGGCAATTTCATGACTTATATTGTAGCAAGGGTGAACAATAATCCAATATCCATAGAGGGGTTTGGAAAGGGAAAACTC